TATAGTATATTACCAGAGACTGTCTAGTATATGACCAGAGACTGTCTGCTACATAAAATATATGACCAGAGACTGTCTACTACAGTGCTATATGACCAGATACTGTCTACTTCATATAGTATATGACCAGAGACTGTCTACTACAGTACTATATGACCAGAGACTGTCAACTACATATAGTATATGACCAGAGACTGTCTACTACAGTACTATATGACCAGAGACTGTCTACTACATATAATGTATGACCAGAGACTGTCTACTACAGTACTATATGACCAGAGACTTTCTACTACATATAATGTATGACCAGAGACTGTAAACTACCAATAGTATATGACCACAGACTGTCTACTACATATAGTATATAACCAGAGACTGTCTACTTCATATAGTATATAACCAGATACTGTCTACTACATATACTATATGACCAGAGACTGTCTACTACCCATAGTATATGACCACAGACTCTCTCTAGTGCATATAGTATATTACCAGAGACTGTCTACTACATATTGTATATGACCTTAGACTGTCTAGTGCATATATTATATAACCAGAGACTGTCTACTACATATAATATATGACCAGAGACTGTCTACTACCCATAGTATATGACCACAGACTGTCTAGTGCATATAGTATATAACCAGAGACTGTCTACTACATATAATATATGACCAGAGACTGTCTACTAACAATGGTATATGACCACAGATTGTCTAGTGCATATAGTATATGACCACAGACTGTCTACTTCATATAGTATATGACCAGAGACTGTCTACTACCTATAGTATATGAACACAGACTGTCTAGTGCATATAGTATATAACCAGAGACTGTCTACTACATATAATATATGACCACAGACTGTCTAGTGCATATAGTATATAACCAGAGACTGTCTACTTCATATAGTATATAACCAGAGACTCTCTACTACATATAATATATGACCAGAGACTGTCTACTATCCATAGTATATGACCACAGACTGTCTAGTGCATATAGTATATGACCGGAGACTGTCTACTACATAAAATATATGACCAGAGACTGTCTACTACAGTGCTATATGACCAGATACTGTCTACTACATATAGTATATGACCAGAGACTGTCTACTACAGTACTATATGACCAGAGACTGTCTTGTACAGTACTATATGACCAGAGACTGTCTACTACATATAATGTATGACCAGAGACTGTCTACTACAGTACTATATGACCACAGACTGTCTACTACATATAGTATATAACCAGAGACTGTCTACTTCATATAGTATATAACCAGAGACTGTCTACTACAGTACTATATGACCAGAGACTGTCTTGTACAGTACTATATGACCAGAAACTGTCTACTACATATAATGTATGACCAGAGACTGTCTACTACAGTACTATATGACCACAGACTGTCTACTACATATAATGTATGACCAGAGACTGTCAACTACCCAAAGTATATAACCACAGACTGTCTACTACATATAGTATATAACCAGAGACTGTCTACTTCATATAGTATATAACCAGAGACTGTCTACTACATATACTATATGACCAGAGACTGTCTACTACCCATAGTATATGACCACAGACTCTCTAGTGCATATAGTATATTACCAGAGACTGTCTACTACATATTGTATATGACCTTAGACTGTCTAGTGCATATATTATATAACCAGAGACTGTCTACTACATATACTATATGACCAGAGACTGTCTACTACCCATAGTATAGTATATGACCAGAGACTGTCTAGTGCATATATTTTATAACCAGAGACTGTCTACTTCATGTAGTATATAACCAGAGACTGTCTACTTCATGTAGTATATAACCAGAGACTGTCTACTACATACAATATATGACCAGAGACTGTCTAGTAGATAATATATATAACCAGAGACTGTCTACTTCATATAGTATATAACCAGAGACTGTCTACTACAGTACTATATGACCAGAGACTGTCTTGTACAGTACTATATGACCAGAGACTGTCTACTACATATAATGTATGACCAGAGACTGTCTACTACAGTACTATATGACCACAGACTGTCTACTACATATAATGTATGACCAGAGACTGTCTACTACATATAATGTATGACCAGAGACTGTCAACTACCCAAAGTATATAACCACAGACTGTCTACTACATATAGTATATAACCAGAGACTGTCTACTTCATATAGTATATAACCAGAGACTGTCTACTACATATACTATATGACCAGATACTGTCTACTACCCATAGTATATGACCACAGACTCTCTAGTGCATATAGTATATTACCAGAGACTGTCTACTACATATTGTATATGACCTTAGACTGTCTAGTGCATATATTATATAACCAGAGACTGTCTACTACATATACTATATGACCAGAACCCCTTCTTCACGAGTGTTCGTAACGTGATTTAAAGAATTGAATGAAAACAGGCCAGATCAGATTTAACATTATAGGCAAAGTGATCCCACAGTTCGGCGTGTATCTCCTTGTCGAAATGTAAACACGAGGGAAACCTAAATGTGGGCGTCAGCAAAAGCCTTTAATAATAATTGTTCCTATTAGGATCGATACTCCAGTCCTTCATATCATTGCTTTAATTCCCAACATGGATTTACACACTATTACACTGTTTTCTTTCCGTGCATATCGCCATGAACGAAAAAGTATTGAATACACTTCTTAAAATGTACATATGGCATGCAAATGTCTGGAACATGAATTAAGGATACTATTTGTGGTGCTACGTACGAGTTGACATGTTGCATTAATTTGAATAGCCTTCAATATACTAATTGGTTTTTGTTTTTGTTTTTCGTTTTTGTTCGTTTTTTCCTTCGTTTGTTTTACCTTTTCCTTTTTTTTTTCTTTGGGGGGGGGGGGGGGGGGGGGGGGGGGGGGAGGGAAGGGGGGATTGTATTCATTCTCTTTTATGATGAAAAACATCCCCTTCACATTAAAGTGCCTGGTTGTATGTAGATTAGCGTGTGCCCTGACTATCTGCAGTCCAGTTATTAGAAGTAAACCATGTCTCTGCTGCTACATCAATAACCACAACGTACGTATGTGTATACACGACGTGTTTGTGTATATGTTTCCGGCTGTACCATGAATGATATCCTATGTCACCAGGTCGCCTGAAGGCAGGGTTTACCGTCTCTCCCATCGGCATCATCACACAGGAGTACAACACAACGCCAGATCCAACAACCCCAGGTGACGCATTGCTGTCAATACAGGGGTTAACGGCTGTACATTATCCTCTCTCATCCACCGTAGTTGTACGAGTAGTTAGCCATTGCAGAACGAGTAGTTAGCCATTGCAGAACGAGTAGTTAGCCATTGCAGAACGAGTAGTTAGCCATTGCAGAACGAGTAGTTAGCCATTGGTGGAAGAAACTGATCACAAACCCCTATCGTTCAGAGCAGGTAGCTGTGCGAGTAGTAAGCCACTGGTAGAACCAGTAGTTAGCCATTGGTAGAACCAGTAGTTAGCCATTGGTAGAACCAGTAGTTAGCCATTGGTAGAAGAAACCGATAAAATCCGATCCCTCCCTTTCGGAGCATGTAGCTGTGCGAGTATTTAGCCACTGGTAGAACCAGTAGTTAGCCATTGGTAGAAGCAGTAGTTAGCCATTGGTAGAAGAAACGATCACAAACAACAACCTTTCAAAGCGGGCAACAAATGTCAGACAGTGAGATATTTTTTTAAAACACACTAAACCCACCCCATCAATCAGAGAAAGCTTTAATTCGTATTTTTTACAACTTTGTCGATGCTTTGTTTGTGCTGGATATGCTTTTGTGTAGAGAAATTCATGTACTTCCCATGTATTGAGAAATTCTATCTTGCAGAACCGACCTCGAGTTTGTTTTGCACACAACTAAGGTCAATTGATCCAAACACGACAGAGCCGGTGCCTGAGGAAGTTAAGGAACTTCAGTCTATGAATGTCGTGTTTAAAGCTCGCCAGACAACGCTAAAGAGGACCAGCGTTCCAGACTCTAGACCCTCCGCAACATACGTGGGGTCATCAGCCGTCATCGTCTCATTCTCAGTCATAGGCGCGATCATCTTATGTGACCTCTTTACCTTGCCGCGCCATTGCAAAAACGCACATAGAAACTTGAAGCGTAAAAAGAGAAAACACGTTGAGATCACATTCGCTGATCGCAGCCACCTCAACATTACAGATCACATGAATGCTGTGAAACTGCATATGCAGCATCTTTCACAAAACGACACATCAAATGACACTAAAGAAGAAAACGGTGATCCATTGACAAATGCCGAGGTTTTGAGTGAGCATTCTTTCGGTAAGATTATGAACACGGACGTCGGAGAAGACGACAAAGTTCCCAATGGAACTTTACAACGCAAAACCTCATCCAGGACATATGATTGGTCAGATGAGGACGACCCTACCGAACCGCGTGATATCCTTGCAATTGAAATAGAATGCGACTCAAATGATGCCAAAAGCGATGACGTTGATCTTGATGCATCTTCAAGTAGTTCCAAGTACATTTATCGGACGTACATGAGCACGGACTTGTGAGGAGCTGGGCAGCTGTCTGTGTTCACGGTGCTTTTATTTCGATGTCCAGTTTGTGACATATATTTCAGTTGCTTCGTGTGTATATGGATGTTGGTATTATTCGGAAGACGATACCGCAAACTTTCATTCTAGAGGGTCACGGCGTTGAAGACAGTAACATCAAGGGGATGGATGGTTATTAAGATTATGAAAATAGAAATAGTAGCAGTAAGGTGTTTGCCAATTCATCACCACTGAGTGGGAAGGTTGAGGATGAGAGTCGATATTAAGGAAAGTAGGCTTGAGGTATTCCTTCGAGGCAAATTATTTTCTTTTGTTTTCATACATTTCTGTTTTGTCATGGGTCATGCGTTTGGCATTGAACACGAGGATATCAATTTGCAAGTTCTTGTAATGACTCTTGAAGATCCTCCGAAAATAATGTGGTCGATCTCTACACGTCTGTCCTTGTTTAATGTTTTGGGTGTCATGTTCAATGGTTACACCATGTTTTATAATAAAATACACCAGAATTCACAATCTGTTGTTTGCCGATATTGAGAACTCCATCTTGCACAACCATATTTCAGCACTAAGCCCTTTATGCTTCCATGCTTCAACGATGACTTACATTAGTCGTTGCACAAACAGCACTTTGGGCAACCAGACCATTTGTGTGTATTGAACATACAGGCTCTTACAGTGGACACCCTCAGTTCCCCTATAAGGTGGACAACATACATCTAATGTCCAGCTTCTGTACAGTGCGGATATTCTTTTCTTGTGACATGAACTGTTGTGGGGTCAGTTAAGTTGGGGAGATATTAGTCATCAAAGTGTTACTCAGTTGATTGTAGTCAACTCCAGACACAGAGCTAAAAAGAATGATTTGCCTTGAAACTATTCGTGTAAGTCTTTCAACCACGTATTACCCATAGTCTTAGTCATAGTCTTAAGATGCATTTGAACCGTACACAACCACACAATTGGGACATATATAGGGAGAAATATGCAAGAAATGTATATGGTTTGTGTATTATAACGTGTTACAAGTAGTCCACGATACCAAGCTTTCAGGATAGTTTAATTACATTTTTAATGAACAATATTTGAGATTTGACGCATGCCAATTGATCCTTTCTCTGATAGCATTGCGTCTCGTGTGATGTATGACGCAATCTCCACCATGAAGCAGCATCAAGTCACCATACCTAGGACAGGTTTCTTGTATCGAATTGGATTATGTGATTGTTGCAAGCAATCGGCAGCTTAACAATGATATGGTTTCTTGTACTTACATTAACGCGACTGATTCAAAATGTCATGTTACGTTACTGTAACAACCAGCACATTTTGTGGGGGATTGTTTGGAGCACTTGTCACTACCCATCACCTGTTAAAATTGTTAAAATATATATACGCTGATGTAATTGTGGATGAATATACTGCTCATCATCCTGTGAACATATGTCGGTATAAGTTGATTTTGCTGTGTATGAAGACACTATCCTTGGCCTTATAAACTGACGGCCAAAAGAAACGTTACCAACGATATTTCTAGGATAAAATATGACCAACACAATTTGAAGCAGCAATAACAATTGTATTGTAGAAATTCATCATTCAGAACAGTAAAATGCGAATTTACTAATTCAACAACAAAGTCCTTGACCTCCAAAAAGGGACATTTCTTGACAAGGGGTCATTCGTCCAGTAATCGATCAACAACATTGGTTACAACTTTAAGGTGACGGTGGCCCAGACCGTTCAATACGGGATATGACCTCCATGAGCGGCAATGCATCTTCGAATGCGGCGTCGAACTGAGTAGACAAGCGTCCTCACATCGACTGCAGGTATCCGATTCCATTCCTCACGGAGGGCACCGATCAACGCTTGTCTCGTGAAGGGAGTATGTTGACGTTTCCGAAGACGACGCCACAGCTGGTCCCAGAGATGTTCTATGGGTGACAGATCTGGTGATCGAGCTGGCCGCGGCAGGACAGCCACGTTGTTGGCGTTGAGGAAGTCTCTAGTAATACGGGCTTTATGGGGTGTGGCGTTTTCTTGTTGGAACACCGTCCGTTGTTGACGCTGGATGAAAGGAAGAACCACTGGCTGTAAGATATTGTCAATGTAGCGTTGTGCTGTCAGATTGCCTTCGATGAGGAAAAGTTCCGTCTTCTCGTCCCCGCTAATGCCGCCCAAGACCATCACACTTCCGCCCCCGTAAGGTTCCACCTCCTGGACACAACGTCGTCGATAAACTCGCGTCCGCCCATCAGGTTTGAAGAGTTGGAACCTGGTCTCGTCACTAAACAGCACTCGCCGCCATTCCCTTTGTTGCCTGCACCACGTCAATCTGGCACGTCGATGTTGACGGGTCAAGGTCATGCCCTTGAAAGGGCGATAAGCCCGGAGACCATAATGTCGTAGTCGTATGGTCACTGTTTGTCTGCTGACCGGATGTCCTAAGCTGTTGGCAGCTGATGACGTCACAGTGAGAAATCTGTTCCTCAGATAAAGTACCCGTAAAAAGCGGTCATCCTGCGGGGTCGTGACCTTTGGTTCTGCCACTCCGTGGTCTGTCTGCGGTTCTGCCAGTCTGTCGGAGACGTGCGACCAGTCTGGTAATGGTCATCTTGGAGCAGTTCATGTTAATGGCAACCGCTCTCTGTGTCGCTCCCATCTACAGCATAACATACCTATTATATGGCTCTCTCCCTCTGGACAGCGGTCAGTCTTGGCATGTTCGTTGGTGTTAATCATCGCAACCAATGATAGGGAACAGATCCGTGCGTAATTTATACCCGGAAATTGCACGATAATTTGGGAAAGAATGTTTAAAAAATTGCTGTAAAACACCAATATCTCCCAAAATCCGCAAAGCACGTGCAAAGAACGACAGAGAACATGAAGGCTGTATTCTTGAGATGTGTTCTTTACTGTTTTTGAACAGGTTGGCATCTTTGTTTCAAAGTGGCAAATCAGTTAATGTTGGTAACGTTTCTTTTGGCCCTCAGTTTATATGTCGATATAAGATCAGTTTCATCTCTCTTAACGTGTTTGATAAGTATGTACGCTCAGATTGATCCATTATCTAACAGCTGAAAGACACTAATTTGTATATGAAGCTCGGGAAATGTGACCCAATGTGTTAGCTGATGCGTGCATGTGCTCCTTTGAAGCATTACAGATAAGCCTTGAACATATGGAAGGGGGTGATAAAGGTTTTAAACAAATAAAGCACACAATCAACTATTTATTTTTGCTGCTGGGAATAAAGAGTGTCAGAGCTATACTACGGTGAATGTATTGAAAAGATTTGACACAATACGTTAATAATTTGTAAAGTGACGGAGGAATGAGTTCTACTCGAACAGTTCTACTGCCAGTTCCCTGCACATACATTGTTTCTGTCAAGAGGGATGTGACCTCATTGATGCCTTTAGAACAACGCGGTATTCCAGTTGTTTGATGAGCATTTCTTCTTCATTATACTGTGATAAAGTCTGTAAACAGCATACTGCTTGTCAACAACAATAGGGTCTATACCGAAACGTCGTAGTACAGTCGTCATCATCAACTATTTGTCTACATTGTTACACGGTATACGCATACAAAGCGTGTGTACTCTATCAAGGGTGCCTCTTGGTAATTGGTAACGAAATATTAGCAAGCAAATGGAATCATATATCGTTTCACCTCGTTCATTTGTTCGTTTCGTTACAAGGCGTGTGGGCTGATACTGCTCAGAAGGAGTGTGGGTTGGCGATGTGCATCATCAGGACATCCGCCCGTGCTATGCATTCGCTCTCTTTTACCTTCGTTACATCATCAGTCATATCATAATCTGCACGTGCTTCAACGAAACATTGGGTATACAAGCTGTCATCGCTGGTGCTCTGGTGTAAACTTGGCTTGACTCTAAAACCTGAAGACATGTCCATTCCTTTTTGGTAATAGATCCCAAAGTTCCATAAAATATTCCGTAAAAAGAAAGATATATTACTAATTCCAATGTAATTCAAATGTACCATCAAATGCATGTCTCTAAGATTAAACCTAATCCTTAATACAATCAAGGAAGGACTTTCTGTATGTTCACAGAGGTGTTTGAGACCAGTGGAACTAATAGCATGCGGATTCTCAAAACCCTCAAAGGATCTGATTAAATTTGTGTAACCTCAGAAAAAAGCCAAGTTCAATTATTTCAAAACCTTTTATTGTTCATCTTTGTACACCACTAACACACACGACAAAAGTAAGGAACATAGTCATTGTTTATTGACTTCCGTGCATGTGTTACTATCGGGGGTATAGGGTGAAGGTAACGCCGATGTGACAGTACATTTAGACTAGTCACCATGGAGGAGCAACATCTCTATCCTCAAAGGTTCAGAACGATTTGTCAAAAGAAGTGCAAATGTCATCTGAAGTAGACTGAGAAAACAATATGTGAACTACTGGACTTATCCATTGGTAACATGTGAGTGAGATCCCCATTCGTGAGATCTGTTTCTTTATGGATATGAATATGATTTTCTGCTCAGATTTGCAAAATCTAAACAAGGGAATATGACTAAGAAGTGTGACTAAAGCTTAAGATATATCGATGATCCGATATTGTTCAATAATGTTCAAATAGCTAATCTCCTTTAACGGTTTTTGGTGGCTACATTTCACAACTATTGATGCGGGGTACAATCTTTCTACGAACATCAAAATTCCTCATATGAGTTTTGCTCGGAAGCTGTTTTATCAGGGCCGCGACATTCAAGGTCTTAGTAAAGCTTTCAAGATATTTTATGATAGGCATGTGAAGGATATCCGACGCATCAGTGACAATACTGATGTCCAATGCAGTTCCTTATTTTAACTTGCATCATATGATCCTATTTTCTGTTCGGTGAGTGGGGCACGGGTGGCCCAGTCGTCTAAGGCGCCGCGATTCGCTGTGCAGAGTTGCGTCCCTTGGACACGCCAGAAACCTATGATTGTATGTTCGAATCCCGGTTCGCCCCGATTATGTTTCTAGGTTTGTCAGCACCATACCCGTGCTCGTGGGTTTCGGCGAAGCGGTAAACGTTTGAGACCTGCATCACTTCGGCCTTTCCTCCCACATTAAGCTGACACGCCGTGACATAACTGGAATACTGTTAAAAGCGGCGTTAAACCTAACTCACTTACTTACTTACGTACTTTGCGCCAGCGGCAGAGGTATACTGAAGCTCCTTATAAACACAACACGCTCAGTCTCTATGTATTTGTGTACGACGCATCGAAAGTGAGTTTGCCCAAAATAACACAAAGCGATACGGTTTCAATTTGACTTGAATAAATCTGAACCAATATGCATGCGACTTTAAGGAATATTTGAGAATATAGCGAGAACACACATGTAAGCATTGTGTTATCTGTTATTAGTATGCTAAAATCACAGCTTTTCACACTGTGTTGAACTACACTGTGGGTAGTTTTAAATTACAATAAAAATATACATCTATTCTACCTGCATCAATAACACACATGTC